CCCTAAACCCTAAACCGCTTTGTGTCCTTTGGGGGGGCACCTCCTTAGCTTCTCAGGCGCGCTGGAGAAATGGGTTTGGGCTGTAGCCCCGGCTTTTGAGGGCTCAAGCCAATGTGTCAAGAATGTCTTGACCGTCCCATGAGAATCCTTGTAAAACCGCCGTAGGAAACCTTAAAGTATACACCCTAAATCCGATGATGCACTCCAAGGCCTGATTCCAGTGACTTACGCCCGTACGATACATTACCCCCACCCGCAGCCCTTGACCTTCAAGGCCTGGAGATGTCTGGTCCGGCACCCCGACAGCACTGAAACTTGACCCTGTTTCCTGAAAACTAGGATCCCGCTGTTGAAGTGCATGTTTAGTGATGTGTGTGTATCCCACGATCCACACGGTCAAGCAAAGACCATTACCCGAATGAGGCAATTCCAGCGCCTCGGCTATCGCGCCGCCCCCAGCCCTGCGTAACACAGAAGGTCGATGCTATCAAGGTCTAAGCCACCAGAATGTCGACAGAGAATGGTAGACTTTTTTTTGACATGCAAGTGTTTGCTCGGCATCCCGTTGTGTGAACTACATTGGGTGCATCACGCAAGGGCTCCGACTCGAATTAGTGTAATGCTGACCCTGTCGGGTTTGACGGGATTGTCTGGGGATTTATACTGCTGATGGACAGCACCCTGCTTGACCCTAAGTCTACTACAGCACCATTATTCGCAGGGTCTATGCCAGTAGGGTCACAAAGGACCTTGTCCATCAACCCTAGGAAGCATGTTGGAGGTTGCCCTGCGATCTAAATCCGAAGTGTGGCATGTACTTCAGACGCCTATACTACTAATGGTACAATTCAATTCTTCAGGCACCCTGTGGCATTTTGTTCGGCTCCTACTTTACGATCCCTATACACTCCCTATAAACCCAGGCCCAGCTTCCTTGCAATTTTCCATTTGCTTTGCCATTTGATTCTCCATTATTGGGGGATAATCTCCCTATATTACGAGCTGTATAATCCCTGTAGCCCCCTTCTTGCATTTCATGGTCCGTTTTCTTCTCCATTTGTTTCCCCACGATATAAACCCCTAAACCCTCATCCGCTAAACCCTACAACTAAAAACCCTATCCAAATCCAATCTGTACCTCAAAATTAAAGGAGCAAGCCTGAGGGCTCGGAGCTGTTGAGATTCTCAACAGAGGATCTTAGGGCTTTGGCTTCGGGGTTTAGAGTTTAAGGCTTCAGAGTTTAGGGCTTAAGGTTTTATTCAGGGTTTAGGGTTTAGGGTCCTGCTTAACTGGGTTTAGGATATAGGGCTGAGGCTTCGAATTGAGTAGGACTGCGCTGATCACCTGAACAAGATCCTCAAAAACAACCCCCATGCTCGCCTCACAATCTCCACATATCCTCACTTCCCCTCAGAGCATCATCTTCTTGAACCCTGGACCCTAAACCCTGAACCTCAAGCCCTATGACCATCAGCCAGTACTCCTGTATAATCAGATCTTAGGGATCCGGAGTACCGCAGATCCATACCCGGAGCCTCCTAGACGTTCCTGTTTTGGGTAAAGTACACTCTAACGCGGTTTAGGGTTTAGATCTAAGCTGCTACCAGGAACAGAGCCACGGGGCCCTTGATCACAGACCGTGCCTCCGTTGAACCCCAACACTGAAACAGCAAGTGTGACAAATCCTAAACCCTGAACCCTTAAACGCGACCCAGAGTTTATAAACCCATCTCACCCCAATATATACCCTATAACCCCTTTATAAACCCAACAGAACCCCTATAGGGGGACCCCAATATAGACCCCAAAATACTATAATCCTTATTATGGGGACCCCCAAATGGGTACCCCTAATTTTGGGAACTACCCAATATAACCCCTATAGTTCCATGATAGCTCGGGGGAGGGTCGAATCTTCACAGCCGCAAAAACGGGCCTGTCCGGAGATCCAGCAGACCCAAAGCGAACCTCGGCCTGCGCACGCAAAAACCCTAAACCCTAAACCCTTTGGGTTTAGGGTTTTAGGGTTTAGGAGCTCTGGGATTGGGTTTAGATTTTAGAGTTTAAGAGATTAGGGTTTTAAGAGTTTAGGGTTTAGGAGCTTAGGGTTCAGGACTTAAGGTTTCGAATTTAGGGCTGAAGGCTGAGGCGTTGGGTATGGAGGTGCCTAAATGGTAGAAAACCTGGGCTCCAAAGGGGTTACCACATTAGTGTACACTCTTGGGTCCTGCCCCCACCCATTAACAGTCTACATATAGTAGGTGTCATGTTCAGGGATATATATATATGAATAATTAAATTAAAATTGTATTGTTCAGCGGCAAATGAGTAAGAGCAGTACCCAAATGTCTTCTGTGCGCACCTTACCTGGTATTCAGGTACTCGCAAGCTTAAGATAGATCTGGTAGTTTCCATAAGTAAGGGGGTCCCGATGTAGACCCCAAGTTGGCAAAAAACATATTATGGGAACCCTAAAATGAAATGGTACTCCACAAAATTTGGGAAACCACCATCTGGATTTTATAGATGCTTATAGGGCTTGCTGCATGGTGAGGGACTGTTGAGGAGGATGTAGCAGTTAAACCCACTCCCTAAAGATCCACTATCCGCGATTTAGGGTTTGGGGTTTGATTATATACTTGGGCCCTTATCACAGTAACCCTTACGTAGACTTTGGGGAGTACATCATACTTGCTTACTTCTGACATTTAGGATCCGTGAAAACAGAAGTCGCAGCCGCCTTCATCTCTTGGACGGCCTTCTGGTGTGGCTCTGCAAGACTTCCGGGCACTGGGGCGAAGCCTAGGCTTCAGGGTTTAGGGTTTAGGCAAGGTTTGGAGCTTTGGATTTTCTAGACCGCTTAGATACCCATAATTGTAGCCTTTAACAAAAATCTCCTGCCCCTAATATTCAAACTCCCGACCCCCTGATAATAAACATCTGCAAGTACGTTACAGTATACCGCCGTAACAATATTTGATACCAGGGCACCGGGGGATGGTAATCCTAGGGGGTGGGGACTAGTCAAAGTATGGGTAAACAGGCAATTAACCCTAGAAGCCCAGGTACCCATATAGTAGGTCCTTGGGTTACAGATAATATAAAACTATATAGGGACTTAAGGACAGGAACCCAATATATATATATATATAGGTAACTGGGCTTCTAGGGTAACTTACTATTTCGGAGGTCTAGGTAGGGTTTAGGGCTTGGGATGCAAGGAATGGTGACTTTAGGGCTTCTATCGGTGATTTTTGACCAGTTCCCAAGACCAGTTCCCAAGCAAAACGGATCGATAGGAACCCTAAACCCTAAACCCTAAACCGCGTGGGTACCAGGTGACCCGGTGACCCTAAACCGCGTGGGTACCAGGTGATTGGACCTCGGGACCTATGTAATGGCATGTCCGCACTGAACCCTAACGCGACTCCATCCATTGTATGGAACCCATGGATATGTAGGTTTAGCAGGAGCACATATAGGGCTCGCGAGCGGTTTTTAAGGCTTTGCCTGCAATAGTCCCCGAATCCGTCCTCCAGCCCCCTTACACAATTCAAAATTGATAGCCCTTATGATAAGTACTCTCAAGAGGCACCTGTTTATACAAGCTCTACACCGTGAACCTTACATATCCCTCTTTTTTTGCAAGCCTTAATTCCTGTCAACCACCGCATGATCCTAGTTTTTGTGACATTCTCAATTTTCTTGGACATTAGATTCCCCCATCATTGGGGTCCCATATCCCTGCCCTAGACCGAAACCCTATATATCACTACGTAGATCGTTGCCATGCTGTCTGTCACTAATGCGTGTATGCGTAATCGTGCGTATCATGATTGCTATTGTTGATGTTATTGCTATTGCTAGTAGTGTAATCACTGTTAGTATTAGTATTACTATTGGAGTTGTTGATCCTTTCTGGTTAGTATTACTCTTATAGTTAGTCTCATTATTGAGTTTAGTGTCTATATGTGTGTGTATATATATATGGTAGTTGACCTAAAATCCTGGCGCTGAAATGGCTATTATGTTCAAAGATTTTCCCCTAGTTTCCTTCATAGACCTACAGAAACCCTACACGATTCCCCAGAGAACCTTTAGATCGATCCCACATACATCCAAAACCGCAATCCTTAGAAAGCACTACCTAATCAAAGCTTCCAGCTGATGTTGCATTGCCTGGCCCATTTCTGTCTCCACTATTGGGGAAATAACCCTAAACCCTAAGCCCCTAAACCCTTAAAATCTTAAACCCTAAACCCCTAAACCCTAAACCCTTAAACCCTAAACCCTAAACCTATACTATTTATGTGTCCTTCTTGCTTGTGGGGAGCTGTCTGCATCATCGAAGCTAACATCCCGCTGCAAGGCGGCCACTAGGTCGCCTGACCACATACCCTCCCCGAAAGGGAGTTTTGGGATTTAGGGTTCAGGGTTTAGGGTTTAGGGTTTTGGCGGTTTCTGGCTTTGGAGATTTAGGAGTTTAGGGTTGAGAGGTTTTGGGCTTTCAGGTTGAGGAGTAGTTCAGGGGCTTGGGGGATTAGGGTTGAGGGTTTAGGATTTGCGTGTCCAGGGGCTCAGGGTTAAGGAGCTTAGGGATCAGGACTTTAGGATTAAGGAGTTTAGGTCTTGACAGGATTTAGGGGTTTTGGGCTTGTGGTAGTTGAGCCCAGCAAGGTTCTGTTCTTCTGAAACCCTAAACCCTAAACCCCAAACCCCAAACCCTAAATCCCTAAACCCTAAACCCTAAAACCCTAAACCCAAAACAAATAATTACTCACGACAACCAAAGTGAGGATATTTTCAACCTCAAAAATCCCACTCACGTTAACAAAGTGCGGCTTCATTGGGTGGAGTAATGTAGACCCATGATTAATAAACCCCTCCCTTCAAGAGCCTTAATATTAGGATCCCCATTATAATCCCTATTAAGGGGAGGGGGTTTATGAATCATGGGTCCACATTAGGCTCTCATGTGCCCTGCTGTAAACCCCGAAGACTGTACCTCAAACTTCATGGTCTTAGGCTTGGGTTTCGTGTTTTAGGATTTAGGGTTTAGGGTTTATAGTCCCCCTTAAGTAGATAGAATATGGCTTTGGGGTATATTATACTACGACCCCATATACCCCATATTCTATCTACTTAAGGGGAACTATAGGGTTACAGGTAGCTCTGGATTCCTCCTAAGTTCCTCCAGTCTACTCCTGGCGTCCATAAGTGCACCCTCCCTTCCCCAAAGCTCCAAGCATTCAATCTTGAAGACTGGACTTCACACCTTAGGCCTGAAAACCCCGCCTGAAGCCCAAACCCGTGCCCTTAAACTCCCAACCGCAGGCTCTTCAGCAAAAACTCCCACCCACACGACCCTAAACTCCAAAATCTACTCCGACCCTAAACCCTAAACCCTAAACCTTTAAACCCGAAACCCTAAACCGTTTTTGGGGGGATTTCATGGCTCCCCGGCTTTGTTTTTTCTAGGTTGTGGAGTTTAGGGTGCGTGTTTAAGGGGTTTAGGGTTTAGGGTTTAGGGTTTTTATAGTGTCACTTCAAGATTCCTATACGCTTGACCCAGGAATCCCTTGGCCTTAAGCTCCCTTTTTAGGGCTGCCATGTTAATCGACTGTCCTGAATGCTTAACACCCCTCCTCCTCCTCCCTATCATCTGTCTTTCCCTATGCCACATCATCTAGATTGGGGGATATGTTTGACATTGGGAGTTGTGGTGGGCTAGTAACCCCTGAGCGCGCCAGTACCCCAACAGTACGGCTTTGGGTACCTAGGACTTGGAACCCCATTAGTTGGGTAATTGGGGCCTCAACCCTAGCTCCCAAACCCTGAACTCTAAAACCCCCGAAACCCTAAACCGTCTAATCCTTGTTATAGCCCGTGCGTAACCCTTAATTCATTGAACCCCAAACCCTCCATACATACAAGTATGTATATATATATATTATATGCATACGGTTGACACTAAAAGTCCTGCATGACCTTCGTATACTAGTAGCATACTTCCCAATTTAAGGTACTTCGGATCATGCAGGATCTTTAGTATCCACAACATATACACATATTTTCATAATTCTTATAAACCCTAAACCCTTAAAGCAGACCCATCATAAATAAACCCCCTCCCCTTAGTAGGAATTATAACAGGGATCCCAGTATTAAGACCCTTCAAAGGACGAGGTTTATTAATCAGGGGTCCACCTTAGGGCTACAAAATTTCAACCTAAACCCGAAAAAAATTAGGGGTTGCGAAATTTCACTTGGGAGACAAAGGCGGACCAAACTCCGTCGCCTAGACTCGGTGGAGTGTCGACAGGGGGATCAGGCTCCGCCTGTTCTGGATTTGGGGTTTTGGGTTTAAGGTATTTTCAAGGATTTTAGGTTGTTTATGGCTTTTATGGTTTTTAGGGTTTAGGGTAAGGGATAGGGGATTGGCCAACTTATTCGCTACAATTAGAAGAGTAAAAGAAGGATCCTACAGGCCCCTACAGTATGGTTCACAATTTGAGGCCTAGGTAGCGTTGCACCCATTTGCTTGCCTCCATCGCAAGGTTGCTCCCCGACTTGCCGCAATTTCAACAAACATCTCCAGTGCTCAGGCAGCTGTCACTATGACACATTAGTTGATTTGCCACGCAACTTGACATGGTGCTCTAGCTACGTAGAGGAACCTAGACGTGAAACAAGGTAAAGATACCAAATTATTAGGTACAAATTCCTTGTTTTATCAGGTACATTGGTTACTCTAAGTAGTCCCTTAAAGCCCTAAAAACTCCTATACATCCCTATATACCCCCTGTATAACCCTAAACCCATTGGTTACTCTATGGCTCGCCAGCTGCAAATTTACACGGCGCTGGTACGGGCACTGTGGCTTAGAAAGCCTTGTCGTGGAAGGATCCTCGTTCCCACTGCAAGCCGCAAGCCCTTAAATACACGTGGTATGGGTTTGGGGTTTAGGGTTTGGGATTTAGGGTTTAGGGTTTGGGTTTATAGTGGTTAGGGTTCGGGTTCAGGGTCGGATGCCTTCTGGGCGAGTCTGCTACGAGGAAGGCCAGGTTGGGGTCGTATACTGAGGGACATCATATGTACTATAGTCTAAACTCTGTAAAGGGCGGATATATAGGGGATTA